TGGGGCTAAAGAGCTTTTGCCCCCCTTCTCGAACGGTATGGTTGTTGTGTGCTTTTAAATTGTGTATTGTTATGTCTCATCTTTTTATCCCCCTGTCTGTACCTCCTTCCCTGATTGAATTGTGAGCCGCCCTGAGTCCCCTTCGGGGAAAAGGGCGGCATATAAATGTAATAAATCAATTAAATCAATCAATCAAGACTTCACCCTTAATGCCGTCTGTCTCCTTGGTCTTAACTCTTATGCCATGTAACAGCTTGGTGACGCAGTGGTCGGAGTGCAGTACTGCAGGCTACTTCTGCTGACTGCCGGCTGACTGCAATTTGGCAGTTCGACTCTCACCAGGCTCAAGGTTGACTCAGCCTTCCATCCTTCTGAGGTGGGTAAAACGAGGAAGGTCGTAAAATGGGGCAAAACTCACTTAACAAATGTCTCACTTAACATCAATTTGTTTCAATTGTGGTTGCAAGGCGAGGACTACCTTTGAATAGTTTAGTTTACATTATATTGCCAATTTTCAGTTTTCAGGATACTTTATTTTATTTTTTTAAACTAAAAGGTTCCATGAATTGAGAAAAAAACCTGAAAACATCTCTTCTAGATCAGATCAACCTTAGAAAGAAACTCTGAAAATTCTAGTTTTGGCCAAAAATAGCCCCGAGTTGGAACCCCCCCAAAAAACTCTCATCAAAGTGGTCAACCCAGAAACTAGAGATGGTTTAGTTAAAAGTGTCCCCTAAGGCAACTGAAGTTGCATACCTGCTTATTATTCCTGGCCAAAAGTTGGACGTAGCTATCGTAGGTCTTCTCAAAATTGACCTCCGAAATGGTACAGCTTTTCCTAAGGATGGTGTATTTATTGTAGATCCTGGTACCCAGTTCCTTCGCTAAGACGGTGACGCATTCCCCAAGAGCTGGCAGGCTGAAAACCGTCTGAAAAGAAGGCAAGATAAATCAAAAAACGACTTAAAGAGACTCAAGATATGACCTGTAGCAAAATCAATTAAAAATAAAAATAAAAAGTTAAGAGGCATCGTTTTATTTTTGTTTCAGTTTTACCTTATTAGTGTTTTTATTACCTAGCAAGAGCACTTAAGGCTCCCCAGGGTTTTTGCACACTTGACTGCACATAGCTGTAGGGTTTTTACCGGGAATCATCTGAATGGTCCTTAGAACTGAGATTACACATGTAAGTAAAACTGCAGCAATTTGCAGAAAATATTTGCCTGTCAGCTATTCTTTGCTTGCAGTGTGTTCCCAGGCATGATCAAGGACACGGGATGATGAAACAAAGTATAACCTGCAACATTTTATTCACTCATTTGATAACACTTGATTCATTCAGCTGCAACAACATGCACATTCTCACGAACACCAATGATGTAAGGACTAACCAATTATTGTGCCTTGGAAACTTGTTAGCCAATAATGATATAACACGTAAAAGTAGGTAGAGCTAAAGAAGCTGCAAACACTATAA